GATACTATTATTTTGCTTGTCGTATTATAGGAGAATTTACGGTAACTAGCGGTATTTACCGGTAACTCGCGGTATTTACCGGTTGCTTGCGGTAGACTGCGTACAGCATACCGGAAAATAATGCGGTATCGCCCGCACATTTTGAATGGCTGCATCTGTAGGTGAAGCAGACAGATAATTTTAGCATCTACCCAAGAAGGAATTATAATAGATGATATGATAGATGACAATAATGAGATGTGACCTATTTTAATTTACTTACAAGGTATTTCAGTTATAGCAACAAAACCCAGACCAAGATGGAAGGCAAAAGCAGAGATGAAGTTTGGTGTAAGCAGATTAGCTTTTAATGTGCGTTTGTTGGAGCTGTGGGGTTTGGTATTATTACCATGTGCATTATAATAGGATAGGGGGAACTCAATGGTGTCACTTCGCTAAACACAACAAAATGACAATCTCCAATTTATAATTCTGGAAGTTTGTCATACATTTTCAAGAGAAAGGAGATTGTTAAACAGAAGCTGAAGATTCCCAGGCTGACACGCTTCATAACCTACAACTGTCAAGACATATGCAAAAACTCTAGAATAAAAGTGCTGAGTGTTTGTATTGGTCCTGTATGCCCTTCCTAAAGTCCTCATTCAATTCATGCCAAAGGGTGGCTCACTTTTAACAGAAGACCCTGGGCAGCCTAATCCTTAGGAATTAGATTGTAATTTTAGATATTCCACAGGTCTGAACATCCTAGAAATTTAAGAGACAAAAAGGAAGGAAGACCTAGGACAAACTAAATTCTGTAAAACATTCCTTATGATCAGATTTTAATATTAAAATAACCAACATAATAAAAATGTTGTTATTCCAATTTTTTTTTTATTTGGAAACAATTTGTATTAGGAAGCAGAACCTTTTTTTCACTTTTTATTTGAACATTCCTTATTGCTGTAACAAACTATACAGCCTACCAAACCCAAAATGAAATTACAAGCTTTACAAACAATGTGCAGCACAATCTGCCTAAAGAACAGTACTGCTATGGAAATAAGAAGAGTTAAATGAAATGTTTTACATTCACATAAACTCTCATGTTATCAGTTTTCCAATGTCAGATTGTCCAAACTGTATCAATCATCAGATGTGCAGAGGGCAGCTTACCATCAATGAAAAACAAAACAGCATGCCTGAAAAACATGTAGAAAGAGCTAAATTCAATGTGTGGTTTATTGTTTTCTTAGAGGGAAGAAAAAATATTTGGAATTCTTCACCATCCACACAGGTTTAGTCAGCTTTTTTTACATAAACCATTCCAATTTTGCATTTCGAAGACATTTAAAAATGGCCATATTATTGCATACAATTGCTGCACTTTTCAATGAAAGCATGGATCCTTTTCAGAGCTTGACCAAAATTAGATCCTTCATAACCACCATCACTTGGGCATCCAAGTAAAGAGCTTTATCATTTATCCTTCATAAAAATATAAGACAAACTGTGAATGAGAGGCATCATTCCATCTTGCTTATTTGGTTGCTAGAGGCTTAGTGTAATACAACCCTGAAAGATCAGCTTTATTTGCATGGCTTTTTTTCCTCCAGATCTCTACAACTCTATGTGTAAGGTGAAATTGCTTTTCTGTCTTAACATGCCCGCCCATTTGCTGGAGTCCTTGAATTCTTATGTCATTGCAATGTTTAACTGTCCAGCATGCCTGCAAGTATCTATGCACATACTGTATTCATAACCTAGGAGTAAATTTAAGCTTAGCTCAGCATGTTTGGGTGTTTTTATTTATTTTTTTTCACCTAAAGAGCAATCTCTCATCTATGCAGAAAAGTAAGTATTTGAGTTGATTTTTTCTAAACCATTAACTGATCGGTGTTTAGGGGCCTAAAATCCTTAACTGTGGTAAATTATTACAAAAAGACCAGACAATTTGCACTCCTGTCCTACCTTTGTTGATGTCCCAAGTCTTCCAATAGCCCTTCAGTGTGTTTTTGGAGTTCACCAGGCTCGGCATGTGTTAATTTCTTTAATTCGCTCCTGATGAAGTACCACAGCTCTTTAACGCCATTCTCAACTTTGCGTCGTAACTTTTCCTGATTTTGTCCTGGACCTGCTAGGGCACAAGCATCATCAGAGTAAGAGAAAAACAGAAACTGTGTGTAAAACTGCACTGCAGGTATTTATGAAAGCCCAAAGGAAAACTAAAGTTAATGCCTTTATTTTTGATTATCTTTTTATTGTCTGCTGAACACAAGGCCTTTATCAAACAATAATAAAAAAGGCAAAGTGAGCAGGTTTGTGTGCAATGCAAGATTTTTGATCATTACTAAAGTGTTGAGAAGAAGTTGATCTTTCTTATCCTTTATATTTATATACTGTATATCCTATATATAAATTAATACTATTGGATCTTCACAAAAGTCTTCATTAAAGAAAAAGATCTTTTGATCTTGAGTACATATACACAAAGTCACAAAGATATAAGATATACACAGATTATTTAATTAACAAAACGAACCAACAGTAAATATTCTTGTGTGAAGACTGTGAGTTCAGTAACAGGTGGCACTACCCTGATGCAGTAACTAGATGTTTCCTATAACCTTTAATTAGTCTCTTGCATCAGGTTTTATGAATTTTGACCTATTCTTCTTTAATGAACTCCTTCAAGTCAGTAACTCTTGGGGGTTTCTCTGCATGAACAGCTTACTTCATGTCCTACCATAACATTTCAATAGTGTTTAGGTTGAGACTTTGACATGGCCAATATTCTCTTCTTCAGGCATTCCACTGTAGATCTGCTTTGCTGCATAACTTTTGGCTGAAAATGAGTCTCCTTTAGACCCCTATTGAACTTGCTGATATAACACAAAACGCATGGTACCATCATGATGATGACAGGCCATCTGGGTCCAGAGACAGCAAAACATGTTACTCTCATCTGATCATATGATCACCAAGTACAAGTGGGAGCTTTATGATCTGGTCACTTTTTTGTGGCCAAAAATAAAACATTTTCATCCTCCAAGTATGCATTCAGTGGGTGTACTTGAATCAGGGGGCCATATTCTTTTTAGTGAACAATACTTTCTTCCTGGATGTCCTCCCGCAATGAAAAACCATTCCCATTCAGTCATTTCTTGATAATTGAGGGACAAGCACTGACATTAGATTAAGTGAGAGAAAATCTGCAGATGTTTTGTGACTTGATTGATTTTCAGGGTTGCTTTTAAATCTTGCCACGATGACTGTCACGATTGTTACTCCTCCTCTTAAGGGCGCTCCAGCCCTTCCTCGTTCTGTCCCATTCCCCACACCTGTTCCTTATTCCAGCCCCTCTTTAGTTCCACCTTTAAAGCCAGACGCAGGCGTTTGCCCGAGACTTCTCATTGAATCCCATTTCGTGAGAGCCCGGGGTCCTGCCGCGTCTGGCTCTGTTATGGTTTTAGTTTCCTGTTCCTGATTCCCTGGCCCGCTGGTCCCGACCCGGTTCCGGTTTTTAATAACTTTGTATGGATCCCTTGGTCTTGGACTCTGCCTCCCATATTGGATTTCCCTTTTGGATTTATGCTTGGATTGTTCGCCCCGGACTCACTTCCCCTGGACACCTGCTCACCTCGGACACGCCCCCCTGTCTCCTGACCCACTTTTGCATGATATTTTTCCCTATTGTTTCTTCACCTTCCGGATCGTGTCGTCCGCATAGGGCCCGTAAAGAACTGTTCGTGACAATGACAAGTCCTGTGTACAGTCACCATGTGCTTGAATATTTTTCATTTGTAGAATCACTGACAGAGGATGGATGGGGCCTCAAAAACAAATGCCCTCAAACACCACCAAGCTGAAGCAGTTTTGTGAGGAGGAGTGGGCCAGAATTCCTCCCAGGAATGTGAGAAACTGATAACCTCTTAGAGGAAACATTTACTGTTTTTACTTGAGTTATTACTGCAAAAGGTGGTTCCACACTGAATCATGGGGTGAACTTATTTTTTCTTCTTCTTAGGCTTCTGAATGTTGGCTGATTTTTTTGGGGTTAATAAATAATGAAAGTAAAATTTGTGTGTGTGTTATCTGTCACATAAAGTTGAACGTATCTACTGTCAGGACCTTGTGAGGACTAGGTGAAGGTCAGATTTGTCTTAATATGTAAAACCATAGAATCTTAAGTTAGTGTACATTCTTTTTCACATCACTGTATAATTAATTATGCAGAGAGTAAGGAAGTCATACCAATACAATGCGTCCATAGTGTGAAAATACCAGGTACAGTAGAATGGTTTGGAAAACACTGACCCAACACCTTTGTAAATTCATTACTTAATTCTATTGGAAGGTAACTTAATTATCATTCACCAGAATCTGAAAGAAACTGAAGAGGTAAAGCTGTCCAGAAATCTGAAATATCCTAAATTATTAACATGTTTAACTAAAGCAATGTCATTAAGGAAATGGGCTGGAAGTGAGTTCATCTGGATATGAAGTTTTCTGAATGTCCTGCAGTATATTTTGCAGCTTCACTTTTCAATTTTAGAAAGCTTCTTAACACCCTGGTTAGTACACAACAGTAGAAATCTGTCAGTGCTATCTTTTTTCATTCTGAGTACTTCGTAGTTAAAATTATATACACCCTGGCATCTGTCCCCTGCCTAGGCCCCACGAATCAGGAAAAGTCACTGACCATCTCCAGATGATCTCCTGAAGCTCTCGATCTGTTCTTTGGCCTTAATGAGCTGCTCCTCTAAAATGCGAACCCGGCCAGCTGCTCCAGGTCCCTGGTCAATGGGCCCTTCAGGAATTCTATACAACGACAAAAAGACAATCTGTGCATCAGTGCAGGCGTACTTTCAGAGGAAAACTCAGGGGCGGTACTCTGCTTCCTACCACATACCCATGCTGTTTTCAAATGTAAATTGGACAGAAGGGTTTACAAATAAAAAAATACAGCTGTTTGCAGATGTTACAAAAGAAATGACTGGTTCCCTACAGTTTAGATCATTTCCTATGTATTTACATGCTGATGTATGTTATTTTTAGAGAAAAAAGGACATGCATTTTAGATATAAATTCACTACAACAATGAGACATGATCGACTCTAGTGTGCAAGCACTAAATCAGGTCCTCAGTGAGAGGGCAAAGAGGGTTTTTGTTAGTGGATACAATGAGCTACTCAGCCTTGTTATTGAAGCTGATACTCTGGCTTCTTTAAAAAAATAGCTGAATGAAATTGAATATTTATAGCTACCAAACTGGCTCAATGGCCTCCTCTCATATGTAACCATTCTTATGTTATTAAAGGCGATGAGATTATTTACCCTGTTGAATGCAATAGCTACAGTAGGTAAAAGTAAGAAAGAAAAGCAAGTACAGACATTAATCAATATATCGCACTTATCAAAAGAACAACACCTTCATGACATCAGTATTTTGGAGACTGGACTGTCAGCTGGAAATCAGCTCAAGCTGACTTGCCAATAGTGATGCCTTTTTAATGGTGAATCAAGGTTTTGTGTAGAAAAAAACAGACTACCTGTCTGTAGTATGGCACTGATGTTTCCCTTGAGTCCAATTTTTTATCTGAGTTGCTTTCCCAGACAAAGCTTCTTGTGCAATTCACAGAACTCAAACTCACTGCACCACAAAGTCATCACTCTATAATTAATCAGTGGAGTAATAACAGACACATTAGACCCCAACTAAAACCAACTTGGTGACAAACTATTGATACTAAATTGCTTTTTATTTTCCAGTTATGAACACTCAGAAAATACTTAAAACATGGGAAATAGTGTTCCATTTTGTCCACCTGTTATTGTGAATGAGAGACTAATTCAAGCAACAGGACATCAATTAAAATAATAAAAGTTAAAGGTAAAAACATAACAGGTATTGTATATATTTATATGTATAAACAGTTCACTTTACAAAAGTAAGACAATTGCCATGGGAGCTTTGCATGATATGCTACTTGTTTTAGATTTTTGTATGTAAATCCAAGAAAAATCAATTATCACAAATTCAATGCTCATCCAGACTTTAAAATGGGCCAAGCTGAGTGCCATTGTGATGATTTCCTAGGTGTGCCCATGAATTGGCTTCTGCCTGGATTTTGCATAACCATCAGTAGTGTAAGACCAGAAGCAGTTCATTCTGTGGCAGCGGCAATTCATCAAAACCATAGGCAGCCACTTATAACTTCCAAATGTAATTATATACAACTACATTATGTGGAGTTTAATTCCATTAGAATTTAACTTTAAACTAGGGAAGGGAAGGCCTTTGTTTTTTTTTATAAAATGAACTGACTTAAAACAAAGTTTTAATCAGAAATACATGTAGCATTTGGTATTGAAAAGAAACAAAACTATGTAAAAGTTATTACACAAGTTGTTTCTATAAAGAGTGACAAAAGATCGTTTTTGTATACAGCAATTGATTGATTCTGTATGCCCTGCTTGCTGCAATAAGAATTTTGGTACCTTCCAGTGTTCAATGGGTGTCTTCAGCTGTCACCCTCCTTTGAGTCACCTCCCAAGGAGCCCACATACAGTATTAATGTAGCGGTGAGGCTTAGTAATAATGCAGAATTAAGTGTTTCTGAGCTTTCCCAAATTAGGCCTCATTTCTCTGTTCATCTCTGTGGTGCAGTCACAGAGAAACCATTCATGCAAGGTTATTTAAGGTCCAAGGACAGCTCCCAAAGGGGGATGCACTTAGCTAAGCCTGGCTATCATGATCAATGGTCA